TGTTCAAAGGCTTGGGTAGCATCAAAAGCCTGCAGTTCCATTCCATTAACTCACATACAGGAAACTGTGGTACTTGTAAGTTTAGCACTCAGGATGGTGGATACAGGATGATCAGAAGGTAAAGGCCATCCTTAGCTATGGAATGAGTTTCTGTACATTATAAAGGCATTTATAACTAACTTGTAAAACATCAGCCACTCCCCCAGGCTGGTGTTAAGCAGCAGTGGTAAGGCCTCAGACATTGCCATGAACATTCAGTGTAGCACAGACAAAATTAAAATGTACATTTGAGGTCAGGGGAAGGCACAGCGAGTTCAGTCCCTAGAACCCATATAAAAAGCAGGATGTGGTCACGTTCATCTCTATTCCCCATGCTCTTGTGGTGACACAGAAGGCAGAGATGGGAGAACTGTCAGCAAGCTCATGGGCTAGTTAGCTTGGAACACAGAGTGCAGCATCCTACCTCATAACATATTGAAAGAGAACTGACTCCTGAAAGCTGTCCTCTGATCTCCATGCATGTGCCATGACATGCCTGTTCCTGTATTCCCACCCATAGAAAGATTAATTAATATTGAAACATTTATCTTTGAGATGAACAGGTCTTAGGATAACTGGGAACGGGGCATTTCTCCATAATTAATCACATCTTGCAATTATTTTGAAGAATTATTTAAGGATGAACAAAGTAATTTAAATGTTGAACTAGGTGACACACAGTGGAGAATTTTTTCTATAAAATACGGAAGGGGTGAATATGGTCACCTGCATAATGTGTGTATACAAAAAATGTCACTGTGATGCTTATTAGTTTGTATAATTAATGTAAACTAATAAAAGTTAGCCAAGGGAAATCCATGAGATTCTAAGCTGGTTTAGATGTGGATGGAAGGATGAGTGCCTGTGCCTGCATGGAGCCTGTCTTTGCAAGCAATGGTGCCGGGCCCAGATATTTCTGGGCTGTCTGAGAAGGGAAAATGGAAGAACAGAGTCAGACAAACTTCAACACTGATCACTTTTCTGGTCATTGTGAATGAACAGAGTTCTATAAATTCTCTACCGTGAGGACTATTTAATTCTTTGAACTCAGTCTCTACTCTACCTTTATGGCTACCTTCTATGCCAACTAAAAGTACCTGTGTTCAATTCCCAGGACATAGATGAAAAGTCAAAGAATAAGCCAGATATTTGCAATCCCAGTATAGCAGAGAAAGAGAAAGGCAGATCCCTGGAGTTTGCAGGTCAACCATCCTTCAATACTTGTCAAGTTCCAGGCCAGGGAAGACCCTGTTTTCAAAAGCCAGGTAATCAGCACCAGTGGAATAGCACCAAAATTGACCTCCGTCCTCCATTTGTTTACACAACATGTGTGCCCTGACATAAATATACGTAGACAAAAGGAACAGAAACAAGAACTCTCTCCCTGTATTGACTTCTAAGTGTGCCAATAGAATAGAATTCTTCAGAAGGCATTTGACATGTTATTTTTGTGTCATTTTAACAACATCATAGCCCACTGAGGACATTTATATTTAGAATTCCCCAATTTAGTTCCAAACTCTTTTTTAAAAGCATGAAAAATGAGAGATATAGAGACTTTCTGTGTGAGGTCCAAAGTCTTGTTCCTCGTCCCATTTGGCTGTCACATTTTTAATGAATTAACTTATGTGATTCAATTCACGTTCCTTATTTAAAAAAAAAAAAAAGAAGTTGGAACACAAGGGAGTACAGCAGCTACAGCAGAGAAGCACAAAGGCAACTGGGGACACAGGGGTCCTGTGAAAGTCCAATTCATCACAAGTGCTACAAGGATCCAAGTACATCCAGGCTGCCCGTGGGTATGCATCCTGGTAGACAGAGAGACAATGTGTCTGCCTCCTAAAGGGTGCTCTGTTTCACAGATGTTCAATGACCCTCTCTCTCGTGTGCAATTTTGATTTTGTTTTTCAAACATAAGTTTCCAAACTTCACTACATGAAAGGCCAGCCATGGTAGCAAGAAGACACAGTGTGGCTTGTCAGTAAGCCTGGGATATCCAGAGACTAGGAGCCACAGAGCCAGATGAAGCAAGAGGGAAGCAGATACTTAAACTAGGGGTCCCCTAAAGAATCGCTTCTCATGTCTTGCATTCCTCCTCAGAAAACGAGTCCATCCCCAGTGTACACAGTGCCTTCTCTGCACATAAGGATAATGGCATCATCACTCAGGCAATGGCACTTCCACTGCAACCACGAGTGGCCACCATTGCCTGTCCTACCAGCTGGTAACTTTTTTTTCCATTTCTTCCAGTTCATTATTCATCAGCTACATTGAATAGTGTATGCACGAGTGCAAGTACATGTGTATGTTCATATGTGTACTTATTCACATGGAGGTCGGGGGTTCACTTGGGCTTGTGTTTCCCTGAGGCCATCTATACTGTTTTGGTTTCTTTTTGTTTTTGTTAGTTTTTTTTGTTGTTTTGATGCTTTTGTTGTTTTGGTGTTTTTCTTTTTGTTTTTTTCAAGACAGAGTTTCTTTTGCATGGATGTCACCGGTTGGGCTGTGCTAGACAGCCTGTGAAGTCCAGGGATCTGGTTGACTCTGCCCCCTCAGTGCTGGCATGACAAGTTCCCCCACTTGTGCAACAAATTTACAAGTGGTTTCATCTCTCCAGCCTCTATTAATTTATTTTAATTTTAAAACAGTGACTTTTTGATCTGGGTTTTTAGAATGTGCCTACTTTTTATCCCAACACACAGAGGTTCTGTTTAATGCCACTAGGTCCACCTGAGCATATCTGGACTCACTTCTAATTTCAGCAGGAGTCAAACAATATTGATGGCACCAGCTTAAGGTGGACACAAGAACTCCTACTTTAGAGAATGCTGGACAAAGGATGATCTTAATAGAGCTTACCTCACCAACCATTTGTACCTTGACAAAAGACCTGGTCTTTAAACACTAGGAAGTAGGCACAGGATTCATTTTCTTGTGCCCATATTAAAGTGATGATCCACAGAGAATGGCTCAGCTATGGGGAGTCCTAGGTAGGGCTCAAGGTCTCTTGAGATTACAGCATACAAAGCCATCAGGCTTGGAGCTCCATGATTTTAATCCTAACACTGAGAAGAATAGCATGTAGATTCCTGGGGCTCTCTAGCCAGCCAGCATAGCTGAGTTAACAACTTCCAGGCTAGTGAAAGACCTTGTCACAAAACAAGCAAGAAAATAGACAAACCCTAAAGAATGACAGCTAAGGTTGTCTTCTAGTCTCTATGTGCAGACATGTGTACCCATATATCCATATACACCTATACAAACAGGCACGTCTCACACACATATACATATGTGCACATGTGTGTACACATATCAAACACACACAGAGCTATACACAGGTACATAGACAGAGCTACATATGCATAAACATAGGTATGCAGACAGGTACATGTGCATACACATGCATGTGCACTTGCACACAAATGACTTCATCCACAAAACATGAGATCATGAAAATCATTCAAATTAAAAAGAAATGGCAAGAGAGGCACATGGGTATTTCTTCAGCTCTGAGGCAGAAATGCCTGTCCTACTTTGCCTGCATTCACATTGAATAAGACAAGTTATAATTCACAGAAGAACTGCATTACACAATGCACTCAGGAAGGTATCCACCAATGAAAACCTGACCCTAATTAATATGTACAAAACAATGGGTGTAAAACTAGAATACCATGAGTTGTGGCTCTGCTATTCAATAGTAAATGACAATAGAAGCCTCTGGACAAAATCTTACACCACCAAGGAAATCCACACAAACTACAGCTTTCCCAGAGGCTACACCTTCATACAGGTATGCAGCTCCATCCAGGGAAATGACGCAAGTTAGAAAATCTGTGTCAGGTGGGGTCAAGATATCCCATATTAGGAAGGACCAAATTTTCCAGCTATCCTACAAAATTCAGTATGTGACCTGAGAAAGATGGATAACCAGGATATCCAGCAGCACAGTCAGTTGTGTCTTCCAGAAGCTGTACTGACATTCTGTGCCATCTTTACAATGCTCTGATTGGTGAATAAAGGAGCCTTCCAGGAACTTAGTGCTGCCAAACCCATTCTACCCCGTAACCACTCTGCTTACCCTCTCCCTCATTTCCAGCCAGAGGATAAGGACATGCCTATATATCTCAGAAAACAAGCATTTGTTGAGTGACCTAACAAGATCTCTGTGTTTTTATAACCCATGTTCCAACTTATGGATGACCCTAAAGCCGACAAGCACAATGGACAAAATACTCCCTTCTGTGTACCCTGAATTCAAAATAATAACTCCCTTCTCTCTAGGAGGAGGAACTAATGGACTAAGGTATAGAGAGGAAAGAGTTCTGAAAATGTACTTTTATTAGTAATCTATGAAGGAAAACAAATGACATCATTTTGGTGTGCATGTACATGTCCGTGTATGCATGTGCATTTCTGTACATGTGAAGGCCATTGGTCAACCCTGGGTATCTTCCTTACTCATTCTTTTCCCTATCATGGTTCTGAGTCAGAGTCTCACTTTTACTTGGAATACACACTGATCATCTAATACCAGCCATCTATTGATCCCAAGCGTTCTCTTGTCAGTCACTATGATCTTCACAACCTCCATAGGCCTTGGCTGTACCTCACACATACAGCTCCTCAGCCTGCCCAACCTCATACAGCCCAGCCTCCATCCTCTACTATTCAGGCTTTCCTCTGTGCTCCATCTTTTGCAAATGTTCTTCATGTAAACCCCTCTCATGTACCTCAAGCATATAACACAAACATCTTCCACCTCCACACAACAGGACAACATGATGCCTGCTCACCCCTCCACGCACATCTAGAACCCGTCTCAAGGAGGTACTTTAGGAAACATTGGTATAAATAAACAAGTTTAAGAATTCTCAAAATAAAAGTGACTCAATGGCTCCCAGGAAGAAAACCAAACCAAACACATTGGTATCCAGCCAACAGTCAGAAACACAGTGTACCTGGTAGGCTGTGATCTTGGCAGGTTCTTCCTTTTTCTGCTCTGGAGATCCTTGACTCTGCAGCAGACTTCGGACAGTTTCTTCCATTCTAAGAAACAGAAGCATGAAGACAATCTTAAAGATGGTTTCCTGCTAACACGGAGTTGTCAGTCATCTTCTCTAGGTTATTTCCCAAGCTTGGAAGAGTGAATACCTTTTCTCTCTCCTTTATTTCCTAAACTAAGGATTTGAGGGATGGGGATTATAGATTAGCAGTAGAATATTCAGATATGCAAACCTTTGGGTTTAGTTGAAAGAGGTGAGGGACAGAAAGGGACAAAGGGACAGAGGAAGGGGAAGGATGGAAAGAAAGGAGGAAGGAAGGATAAAAGGGGTAGAGAAGGAGGGGAGACATATAGAGGAAAGGAAGGGGGAAGAAAGAGCAGAATGTAGGCAGAAAAGGAAGGAAGGTGAGGGAATGAGAAAGGGTCTCAGTGGGAAGAAGTGGGGACGTAAAGTCATTACAGTCAGTCTATTTTTGGTTTGGGCATCCGTACTCACATATGTATGTGTCCTAGTCTCTCTTTTCATGTATAACTTCTTTTTAATTCACTACAATAACTCACATCAATCTTCTTGTGATCAGTGTGCCAAGTTAACATACCTTATTTAACAAAACTTCTCCTAGGAAGATGCAAGACACATATCTACTCCCCCCCCCATAGGAAGCCCATGAGACCAAAATATGGATGCCACCAAAATCCAACATGGTGAATTGATGAATTTTTTTTGGATTTACTTATAGGAACAGAAATGACACATAGGCAGCTGCATCACCAAAGCCCATCCCAGCATGGCGACAGCTCACAAAACTGAGAACCTGGAGCATACTGCCCAGCCTGTAGCCAGCTCAACGGGTTGGAGTGTCCTCTTCAGATACCTCAGTTGCTTTAAACCTCTTCCAAGCAGCTGGGCTTGTTTCTGCTTTTTCCAGGCAACTGGTCTACTCTGAGAGTCTTTGTAGCTTTGCTTGTCTGGGGTGGGCGGTTCTTTGTAGCTTGGCTTCACTTTGTTGGAAGGGGATTCTTAGCTTTTTATTGCTTATGCTGGCAGGGAGTGGACTGGTGAATCTTTTTAGTTTTAGGGACTTCCTGAAACTATTTTGAGTCCTTTATGTTCCTGCTTAAGGAGATTCCCTGAAGGATGGAATATTTCAATCAAGCAGAAAAATGTTATACAGCAACAGTTCTTTTACACGTGTGTTCTCTCTATTGACATACTGCTGTTTCTTTCCATGATGGTCTTCCCATGTCAGCACACAAGGATTTCCTTCACTCTTTTCAACTGTTTCTAAGAACTTCAGTGTGTCAGGTCCCTGGCAGATATTTAACCATTCAGTTATTGAATTTAATTTGCTTCACAACTTTGCCAACTCAATCAAGATCTTTACCTGTATCTTTCAAAGTGATTCATGAGTATTTCTATAGCTTATACTGTAACATATTCCATGGCATAATCCTTCTTAGTTTTAAATACCTACTTCCAAAGCCTCCTGTGATATTAACTCCAAGTATTAATTTGGTAGGATCTAGAGCCATCATGGAAAGAAATCCCTGAACATGTGTGAGAGAGAATTTATAGATTAGGATAACTGAGGTGAGATCCACTCTGAATTTGATTGACACCTATCATCTCTTCTCCTATGATGGTTTGTATCTTCAAACTGAGCCAAAATAAAGTCTTCCTCATGTTGTTTCTATCAGATGTTTTGATGCAGCACAGAGACAGGCAACTAATCCAACCCCCATGGTCCCCAAAATGATACCCCCTTCCACATGTGACACTAACTTACTTTGTTGCTAAATGCTGTATTGTGAGTCCCCTTTATCAGGTACAGACACCTCATCATCTACTTTCCGGATCGGCACCATGATCTACTCAAGAGGTTTCCTAACGTACCACCAATTTCTTTGAAATCATACAATCTATAGCATTCACTTTGTCCCTTAAAAATCTCCCATTTCAATGCACTAATATTTCACACATGCATGTCTTGCCTCCTAGAGTACATGATAACTTGTGTTATGTGGCTATGACTCATATTCTTCATGCTTGCATTCATTTACAAATAAAGTTACTACTCAGTAGACAGTGTATATCTGTCAGTTCATTTGCTAAAGGATAGCATACTTACAATGAGGCAGGAGTATTTCAACTCGGCATAAATGATGCTGACATTGGGCCCCTCTTCAAGGATTCAAAAGTCATAATTCTACCAAGAAGAACACCTGAGCATCAATGTTTATTGACGAACAGCTAAACTATGGGACTCACTTAAGTGTCCAGTAGTAAAGGAATGGGGAAGGAAAATGTGGTGTATATACATGATGGAAAATTTTCAGATATTAACGAAACAAAACAACCAAAATACCTAAAGTTACCTAGTTTGCAAGGAAACATAAACAAGAGATAATCATATTAAGTGAATTTAGTGAGTCTCAGAAAGATATCGCATGGTTTCTATCTGATTTCTTTTATAGTTCCTATATTTAATAGAGATATATAAAATCACACACATATAGTGCACACATTTACATACACATGTACGACAGAAAAGTAGAAGTGATAAAGGAAACAAATGAAATTAAGAGACAGCTGGAAAAGGCAAAGCTGCGCCCCCCCCTTTTCAAGTCTTAAATTATTAATAGCTTAAAATTGAACAGAGCTCATTGAAGAACTCTCTCATCTATTAATCATTTTAATGTACTTTAGGAATATCATTACATCTATTTGGAAGATGAGAAAGCTGAGTTAGTGAAAGGTTAGATGGCTTACTTAAGGGGCTGTGGTTAGGTGGGGGAGTGGGAATGAGCATGGTTTACTGACCCGAGTACAGCAACCCCTTCTAACTAACCTGAGTACAGTAGCCCCTTCTACGTGATTTCACTGAGATTTAGAGAAAACATTCCAAGAAAGAATGTAGACTTCTACTAAGGACTTCTCTTCGAGAATGCCTTTGCTATGCTGAATCTATGAGTAACTACACTGTATTTTATCAGTGAAGGACTTAAGGTCTGCAGAAAGAAAAAAAGAAAAGAAAATAAAAGGAAGGAAGGAAGGAAGGAAGGAAAGAGAGAAAGAAAGAAAGAAAGAAAGAAAGAAAGAAAGAAAGAAAGAAAGAAAGAGGGAGGGAATAAGGAAGGGAGAGAGGGAGAGAGAGAGAGAAAGAGAAAGAGAGAGAGAGAGAGAGGAGACAGAAAGAAGAAAGAGAAAGAAAAGAGAGAGAAAGGGGGAAGAGAGAAAAAGGGAAAGAGAGAGGGGAGAAGGGAAGAAAGAAAGGAGAAATAAATGGAAACAGAGGGAAGACAGGAAGAAGACAATGAAAGAAAAGAGAACCACTAGGTTCCCAGGGCTGTGAGGCAGACCGGATGGCACCACCTGCCAATGCTTCATTTTGTTTGTATAGAAGAGGAGACGTTTTTACCATGGTGTTCATCAACTCTAACACCAAACTTGCCTGACGCATGGCTCATGGTAAGTTTTCAAATATGTCCCATATAAAGTCATTTTAGTATACAACAATCTATGTGACAATGGTCTGCTGAGATTTTCTCTTGGTGACATATCAGTGTGTGGTTGTGATGGCATCCTTCCTTGTTTCCATACGATGACAGACTCTTCTTAGAACTCATTTCTCGGATGACCCTTTTCCATCTTCATAGGTCAGTGACACAAACTCCTTAGTTTCTTTATTTACACCCATATGACTTAAATGCATCCTTGTAGTCTGAGGTTGGAGAAGGGGCTGGGGAGATGGTTCTGTTGGGAGAGTGCCTATCATACCAGCATGGGTACCAGAGTTTAATTCTGAGAAACCACATTAAAAAATTCCAGGTATGGTTCATGCTTGTGATCCCATATCCAGGTAAAAGACACTGTAGTTTTCTGCAGTCCACTGACCACTCAGCCTAGCTGAACTGTGTACTCCAGGTTCAGTAAGAAACCTTGTCTCAAAAATCAAGGTGGAAAGGAACAGAACCTGTGGTTGACTTCTGGGCTGTACATATATGAGTACTTGAAATGCACACAGGAAATACACACAGACACACAGATACACACACACACACACACACACACACACACACACACCTCACATACAATGAAAATAAAGCCATGTTGGGTTTTTTTCTTCTACTAACTTAAAAATAACTGTCTTGGCATACCTTGCTGAGTTACTACTCCTGTGTAATTAGAAGTTCTTTGCAGAAGTCACTAGATCAAGAAAAAAAAAGCCTATTCATCTCTCTCCTGTTCTTTTCTTTGGTTTTATACTTTGAAAAAAATTAAAGGTAAAGAAAAAGCAGCTCTAGACAAGAAATTGTTAAGACCATCTCATGCTATCCAAACTCCCTAGTAATACTGGGAATATTAGCAATATTACTGGGAATAGTAATATTTGACACAACTCAGGGGTTATTCAAAAGCAACAGCTTTTTAAAGCTGCAGCTTGAAATAGAGGCTTTCAGGCACCCTTTAAACCACTGCTAAGAAAATCAAGCTAATATTTTTAAAATAACCTTTATGAATCTGGTCCCACAGAAAAGCGTTTTGTATGTGATAGGAGCATTCTGTCATTTATTCCCTGATGGTATCTATTTAAAATTCTCATTTCCCAACCCTCTGTTTGCCTAGAAAACTAAAAAGAGAAAGAAAAGAAAGGAAATCACAGAGCATGAAGTGCCCCATTGTTGCTTTATGCCTGTGACAGTTTCCTTTCCTTTATTATTTGATGAGAAGGGTTCAGATTCCCCAGTCCTCTCCTAAGCACACCTTCTACTTCCCAAACGTGATGAAAATAAGCCAATTATTCCCAAGAGTCCAGGCTTGGACAGAGGTTTGAGTGTGTTTGCTTCCTTCTAAGTGGTTACAGGTAAGGTTTATCCTCATCTACTAACCTTAAGCAACCTTTCCTCATTCTCCCTACCTGATACTAAATCACTTCTTTTCCCAAACACTGGTCAGAAATCTATTACAAACAAAATCCTGTAAAAAAAGAATATATACTTACTGAGATGTAATTAGTTATAATGTAGATTAGCTGAGCCTGAA